ACCCCCACCCCCCCCCCCCCCCCCCCCCCCCCCCGGGCCTCGAATCCCGGTTCAGCCTGTGAATCAGTCACTTCAGGCCTTACGATTTCCAAACGGCATCCGGAATGCACACGTTTCCTCTCTTTCGCTGTTCGATCCATCAAGAATTCATGAATAAAGGCCCACAAATGGCTGGAGCCTAGGGCCTCATGGCAAGCCATGAAACCCGCCATCAACTTCCTTCCTACCCCGATTTTGCATTGCAAAGAATCTTCTTCCGTCATCAAGCGACGGAGAAGACTAGCAATAAAACCCGGGAAGAGACGACGGGATATAACGATGAGAACACAATGGAAGAGGCGAGGCATGGCGTTACGGCATGATCGATGAAAGCCAACTCCTGCCAGCTGCGTCTGACATGGAGATTCAAGGATTGAGGAAGGGGTTATGTCGAGGAATCTTATGTTTGAAAAGGAACGCCCTCAAATGGGGAAAACCCAGGCAAACATTGTAGGTAAGGCGAGATCAGGGGGAATGGAGAGCAGGGAACAAGGTGGGGGGGTTTGGATTCATTGATGCTCTGGACGTAAACTATTTGGACCATCAGCGTCAGTTCCCATCGTCTCCACATGACGTGGTGGTAAAGATAGGAACAAGAGAAGGGGTTCCTAGGTATCAGACCCCCATCTCCTCAACAAAGAATAAGAACCTATTCCAGCATCCTCCATCTACCAGGGAAGTTTGTCTTGGGACGGAGGGAGAGCCATCCCGCGGCATACCTCCCACATACACTACACAGACCGGGAAAAAAAGAAAACAACATGGATATATCGGTATGAGCCAAAAGCCCCCCGTAGTTTTTCCGTTGATACCAGAAGATGCCAAAGAAAGCAAGGAGAGAATCCCCAAACAGTTTATCCTCACTCCCAGCAGCCAAGTTTCGCATCCATCTCATTACAGACTGCTTTTCAAACAACGTGCTACGCAGCGGCAATTCCCCCGGGAGAATAAATACAAAGCGAGAAGAGAATCTGGGTCAGCCTCAGTTGTCCTCTGAAAATCTCCAGGCGACCCGGAATCCCTCTCGATAGAACGATCATCATCCGAGCGGTTCACTTGATCATGGCCTTAATGTTTGATGAGAAACGAGGCCACAAAGAGGAGAGGAAGGAGATGACCGTGGGAATTCCCCAGAGACAATTCCACGACGTTCGGAAAAGGGGCGAAAGAGAGGAGAATCGAGGGAAGAAATGAAAGAGAGGATGAGAAGACGACGGTTGATTAGCGCCTGGGAAAAGGGCAGAGTTCGCCAAGAAAAGGGGAATATATGGGTTTCACCAAGCGAATGGAGGCGGCATCCATGGGGCTTCCCAGGGAATGCACGACGAGGAGCAATAAATCATTGGATAAGACAGGGAGATGGGAAGAAATAGAGAAAGGAGTGAAGGAGGAATATTCAGCCTCTTCCCTCTTTTCTCCATATCCCCCTTTGTTGCATGCACTTCCCTCTCCCATCTTTTCCGCTCGTCTAGCCTTGAGATCCGGAGGAAATGGCAGAGACAGATGCGTTTTTCCATCAATGGAAGAAACCCAGACGGACGGAGACCGGAGGTCTAAAGGAATCCCTTGCTGACCACGAACAAGAAAAAAATGAACTTTCTTGTCTTCAGTCTCGGCAAACACGACAGGAGTGGGGGATCCCGGGAAACAAAAGGAAAAAGGAAGACATGAAGAGGAAGAAGAAAGGGAAGAAACTCTTTCCAAAGAAAGATCTTTCTTCTCCTTCGTTAAACCCGAGGGAAAACTTGCTGGGAGGATAGGAGAAGGAGAAGGAAGAAAAGGAGGGAAGATCTCGTTCGGCCTGTCAAGTGATCCTAAGCCCTGATGATCCCTTTTGGCCTCATCTGTATGCTGCCCTCTTAACCCTCTCTTCGTTTTCCCCCAGTCCGAAAAACTTTGGTCTTCCTATAGACTGGAGAGGAAAGAAGAAAGGGTTGTCATGGGATAAAATGTCTTTGGGGGATTTCGCGTGTACCATTCCTAGTCCTGGCACGCGACGGGGAGGTCGAAAGATAAAGAAGAGATAAATGAAAGACATCTTCTCATTCCCCTCCCCTGTCCAATCAAGGGTATTTCTCCCCTTCAACCTCATACACGAGCAACTTCCATTATTGATTATCCAATGGCCTACGAAGAGCATGGAGATGACAAGAATCCTCTCATGTCGACAGGCTTTGAGGCACCTGGAGGCACCCTTAGTCGACGACGACGACGAAGATGATGCATGGTGATGAGAGGTCTTTCAACACGAGATTAGCTCTCTAAGCCCCTCTATTTCCCCTGGATGCATTTCATTATGAGAGCTTTTCATTCATTGTCCGCGACATCCTCTTCATTTTCAGTGGGGAAATCGATAATTCCAATCCCAGACAGAAGGCGTTCTCATCTAGACTTTATGAAGGGCTTCTCGACGATCCCCGGATCCCCGCATTTGGACCGGTTCTTCAGCTCTAGAACGACAACCCTGTCACCCAGGTCGCCAAGGAAAACAGAAAATGCGTCTCTAATGAGGTAAGACGGGGTCCTGACGAGACCTTTCCTATTTTTTCAAGTTTCTTTTTTGCACTCAAGCATCGAACGGACTTCGCAGTTGATTCCCGGTGACAGGGAAAGAGGACTGCGAAATTAGAGCAGCGTGGGCCCCTTTCGAGCCTGTTGCATGCGTGCATGTTTCCGTTCCCCACCCTATTTCGAAAGGGAAAGGGTTCATGCCCATGCCTCCTGTTTGCTGAGAGAATCGATGAGACTCGTCACAAAGACGAAGGCCTAACAAATGCAAGGAGTTCCTGGGCAAGCCACGCCCAAACATCCCTCACGGAAGGGACTAATCCCCCTGCCACCTGTGACATACACGAAAAAAGGTGTCAGACCATAAACAGAGTCTGAGAGAGAGAGAGAGAGAGAGAGAGAAGAGAAAAGAGTCTTGGCTCATAAAGCCGATTCATAGTCCGTGAATATGGGGAGACGAGTTTTCATGCATTGCTTTGCTCTGGAGACAATACAGGAGTGAATGACATGGAGGGGGGGGGGGAGAGGGGGCAGAGGGGGACTCCTGCTGCTCCCTCCACTGCTCGGGGGGGGGGGGGGGGGGGGGGGGGGGGGGGGGGGGGGGGNAATTATCGATTTCCCCACTGAAAATGAAGAGGACTGTTGCTATGGAAACGCAGCCGCTATTGTGTCACAGAGAGGCATTAACACTGGGCCTGTTCCCAACTGGGACAGACCCACGCAGACATTCCCAGGACGTGCCTTGGGCTCAGAATTCCCAGAAAGACGGGAATACCCCCGAGATTCCCCGCTTTCCCCTAGGAAAAAGCTATTTCTCCTCCTCCTCATGGTGTCTCAACGTCAAACACGAATTCCCTCCTCGCGTTACCAAATCTTATCATCTGTGGATGAAAAATTCATGCGCAAAGTATTCAAAGTTTCAACAGTTCCTATTCATGAGGCTGAACTCTGAAGGGATGGAACCATAGAAAGGCTGCCCCCGTTCAGTTCTGTTTCCGTGCCTGTCTTCCCTGTCATGCAATGCAATGCAATGCCATGCCATGCCATGCATGTTATGCATTCATCTCAGCCCGGTAAGCACGCTAGCCGGACATCATGGGTTCCCTTTCAGACTGGCTTGTATTCCACCCGATGAGGCTGCTCCTTCCTTTTATTCTCCCCCCCCCCTTTTCCCCTCTCCCCATACAAAAAGAAGAGGAAAGGGACGAAAAATTAATGTTTCCCATTCTTTCTCCCCCCCCCCCCCTCCTCTTCCTCGAGTCCTCGTGCAAATTGAACCGCAACATCGCCTCCTACGCAATCAGGAAAAGCCATTCCTACGAGATATTTGCACTGAATCAATGAGATTAGACATGAAACGCACCAATTATCCATCTCTTACTGCCTGCTTTCATGCCACCGGGGAGGAATTCCGTCTAGATTTATTTGCCCGAGCTCAGAAACGAGGGCATATCAAGAGAACCTCCAGTCCATCAGGGTCCCATAAAGAATCGTCCAATAAAAGCATCGGGTACTTTGTTTATGACATGGTAGTCGAAGTATAAGTTATAACATGATAAACGAGGTCAATACAGGTACCCGAAGTACAGTAGATCTGATTTTCATTTTTTTGCTTATCAATATCAGATTTAATTTTGTTTTCTTCCATGACACGCCAGCAACGTATTTCACTAATTTCAAATTATTATAAAATAAATATTAAAATTTGAAATTCATAAAACGGCGGAGTTCATTACTCGTCCCTCCCTCTCCCCCACCATCGTCCACCGCGACCCGTACCCACACCGTCCCCAGGCATCTTCTTATTCCCTTTCTCTCCCTTCTTTCATCATATTGTGACTATTTTTGCGAGTATTTGGCCTCAATCGTCACTACATATAAAGTTCAATCAAGGATTTAACCAAATACTCTGAGTTCAAGGTGCAAACAATGGCACTCAGTTTTACTGGTTCTCGGAAACATCGTAAAATATTTGTCCAGAAATCCGTTCAAGGGGAAGCACGCCAATTCCATAGGCGAGTCCAAATCCAGCATATATGCAGGTTAGGAGTACAATTCCCTCAGAGTTCAAGATCTGTTCCCTCAGTTAAGCAAAAGGAGGGTCCAAAGTTCCAAGTTCAGATGACTACTCAAGATCCAGGGCTGTACACAATGGCAATATTCAAGTGGGCGGTGCGGTAGTCTTCAGCTGTCTCTGTCATGGGATCGAAACCTTCTCGGCTTTCCTCTAGAACAAGGCTGAAGGGAACGAGAACGTCTATTACAGGCTCTCATCTACCTCTTGTAACATTTGATACATCAAGGATATTCATATGTACTTCGCAAACGCGATACTCTAAAGCGGTTCGTGGTTCTTCAAACAATTGGATCAATAATTCCTCCATAATGGAGACTCATTAAGGCTCGTGAAGGGGTGAAGCCGGGATCAAAATCAGGAATGCTGCGTTCGTCCCATCGACAAGGACTTCAAGAGTCACAAAAAACGTCGAAAGTAAAGATCGAGGCTTTCGAGATGTTTCTGCTTATTCTAGAGCAAGGAAGAGTGTGTTTGAAGTAAGGGTGAAGACTCCCAGTTCGTCTCTTACTGACTCATCTCAATTTTTAGAACGCTAACTGCTATCGTAAGTCATTCGACCCGAACCTAACCTTATGCATTCTCTCATAAATTAAAAGTACCCAAATGTCACAAATGTCAACTGAACACTCCTCTTAATAAAACTTCATCACAATGGGCAAACTTCACAAAACTCATTCACACGTCACTGGACGCTTAGTAACGAGACAGAGCAACAGAGGATGGAGTCAACGATGCAGTGCCACCGTCGCTATTCCACCTTTAGAATCCGTACCTAAACGCGGCTTGGATATGTAAGAGATAGGTAGGTTCTGTGAACGCAAATAAGCAGAACCTTGGGCATCTGCTGATCGATCTAGTATCCCTGATCGACCAGCAACCATTACCACGTAAACTGTCACCAGATATCCTCTTTAATTCTCTATTCCTTCCCCTTTCTTCATATCCCCGACCTTTCCGACCACCACCCATCCCCAGGCATCCTATTCTCCTCCTTCCCTTCTTTCTTCTTATCATCTATCCCACCGACCACCAACCATCTCGACGCACACCATTTGTAGGCATCCACTCCTCGTCTACCTCTCCCCTATTTCATCACATATTTCTAGTATACCATATTACCTATGAAGGTATACTGGAAAAAGGTTCGCCACCATCTCGGGGTTTGCCTCTTGTTATAGTTAATATTCATCTTCGAAGCGAATGCAAGTAAGATGAGACATCGAATACAGCAGATAATGACACCATTGAAGGGTCAGCACCCAAAGTAAGCAACAATTTTCGAGAATGTGAAGGGCACATCGTACTCGTGAGAAGACAAAAGGTTGATGACAGAGGGAACAACCCCTGCAATTAAGAAACAGAGGTACTTCTTCAATTCTTCTTGTACAAAAGAGGTATGCGTTGCATACAGCCAATTGGTGGGGATGGGGCAATTCAAGATGCAAACAATAGGCGTAAATTATGACAGTGGTCCTTTTTAGTGGTGGGGGGGGGGGAGGGAATCAGACCAAATATAAGACGGGGAAATCAAGACCTGCAGATTCGGATAGATGCGACTCATGCCAAGGATGGAGAAATTAAATGTGAGATTATAAAGGGCAAGAGAAGACGGTCCGCGCACAATGGGCTCAGAATCTCCTCGTGAATTATTCAAGCCTTGGCACGCTTATAACCTCAAGACTTCTGCATTTTAATTGCATGCATTCAGGCCCTGGGAAGGAAGAAAAGACGGCTCATAAGGTCTCATCCCAATGCACAAGTTCAAGCCCTTTTCTACAAGAATCTCAGGGGAGCACGGAAGAAAAAGATGCGCGAGAATTTGGTAGAATGATATAGGATTTCGGACACGTGCAGGAGTTATTTCAGCGCAGATGTTTTCCCCATTCGCCGAGATGGATGAATCCCCAGTCGAGAGGAGGATCATTGGAGACGTGGCATGTGGCATGCAGAGCCGAGTCTCCAGGGACGCATTCCATGGATATTGAGGGAAAGGGAAAAAAAAGTGGGAAAGGCGAGAGAAGGGAAGCGAAAAGACCAAACCATCAAGTCCAGCAAGGAAGGCATCAGAGCTGGGTTTATTGCATTCCCTTGCTGTCCAATATAGACTCCCTCTCTTCCTCATAATAACGCTTGCTGTAATGCCAAGCAAGTCAAGGGAAGGCTCCATCATAGGCTAAAAGCTGGGCTTTCTTCTCTTATCCTACTCGTATTATGATCTTCCCACACGGTCTTCATGTCACATCCACGTACATCTCAATCGCTCTTTCAAGCGGGAATTATAATCCCTCATTTTCCACAAGACCCTTATTACGAGAAGCCTTGATCAGCTGGGAGAGTTTTCGTGGCTCTGAGGAGCAAAGGATCTTGGCATGGTTGAATGTTGTCTGTACAGAGGAACAGGAAAGAGACAGAATGAGATGCCAGGGCATCTGGCAATTCGCCATTCTTTCAATCCTTCCCTTTCTCGTTTCTTTTCCCTCCGGAGCAGCACGTTATTGTCAATCCCATTGCCTTTTTGTGCGCCTCCATGCCATGATTTCGACGGCACGAACCCAGATCGATCGCCATCCGGGCCGAAGAGACAGAAAGGAGGGGAAAAATAGAGGGGATAGTTGAGGGACGGGAGCAAGCTGGAGGCCAACTTCTAATCACGAAGATAAGAGGAATCGCCTTTTTATCTGACTCTGATTCCTCCCCTATGCCGCATCTTCTGTCTCCCGTTACTGGGATGAAGGAGAGAGAGAGAGAAAAGTCCCGTCCTTTCCATCCGGGCTCAAGTATTGTCTGGTTGATTTTTCATTCCCGTAGGAGAGCTCTCGACGAGATGGTTTCCATCAAAAAGAGCAAGAGGCATTGTCAGATCCAGCATATCACTATGCATTTATACATCAAAAATGGGTCCCCCCCCCCCCTCCTTCCCGTCCACTCACTCACGGAAACGGTCTCTAATGGCTGTCGTACGAGGGAAGGGAGTTTAGTCGATGTGTAAGGTTAGGGGATCCAGGGGAATGATTCTTATCGTGGGAAACCCCATCTGCACGAAACACGCACTGAATCGATTCTTACGAACACCTGCCCCTGTCGTTCACCCATAATATCTAACGGACTCCCCCCCCCCCCTTCCCCGTTCGCATGGCATTCGAATTTAAATGCCCCCTTCCCCCAATACAAAGCAGGGATCAGCTGCACACGTCGGTCGGCCCATATTTCAGAATCCTATATGAATCGCGTGATTGGTGAGGTTTTTCATGCGACTTCCCTTCGTCGGATCTACATTTCACGTGCGTTAGGCAATTACTTGCATTTGACACAAACCAAGGCCGGAAATATGCAAAACACTGCGGTTTGAGGCTGCTCAAACAGACGAGATGAAGAGGAAAAAGGAATATGATGGGTGAGGCCAGGTGCATCGTGCAAGGGCGTTTCCCTTCATAACACGCGCCAGAAAGACTGGTTGTGAAGATGGATGCAAGAATGTACTGTAGCCTAGCCCAGACAGGTAATCTAAGAAGGTAATCCAACCTTCCGGTCTCATACGATACTCCCTTTGGGATTCATCCCATTTCCCTCGTCTCCCTTCCGCCCAGAAACATGTCTTGAAAATGTAAAGATGCATTGGCGTGTTGAAAACTCGAGAATAAAGAATTAAACCGAACCTCTGCCATTTGCTGGCATGAAAAAAAAATGCAGGAAGAAAAGTCTTCCATTAGCGAAAGGAACAAGTTTGCAGACACGACTCGGAAATTGAATTAGCCTACTCAAGACGCACGTAGGTCTTCAGTCCGCTCTAAAAACATCACATGCTCGCCTAACCATCACCAAGCCGAGGATTTCGCAAGAGACAGGATGTAACGAAAAATGTGATGTTTACACTAAAGGCCAAAATTTCCTGTCTTCGACCGAGGATACTCATCGGAATGAGTAAAGGCTCAAAGATGATCTGCCCGCAAATGCAACAATTTGAAAGGGTCAGAGTGTATGGCCTCCATATCTGTCGATGAATGTCAAAGGATCGAGGCCTGAGAGATAAGGTCCCGATATAGAATGAGGGGGAAGAGAAAAAGAGAGGAAGAGCGAGGAAATCGATGAACCAGACGCCCCTCTCTTTAATGACACACTCACACAGGGGTTTAAAGGGAAAGGCCAACATTGAGCTAGAATGAGTCATACACGGGGCTTGATCCATCCTTTATGAGAGGGAGAGACGAGGGAGACCGAGAGAGCCTACAGCACACAGTCTCCCTGATGGACATGGGAAGCGTGCATTATTCATATATTTTGGAGGAGAAGCCGCACCTCTGGGTCCCAGGCGGCCATAATCTCCTGGATCCACTGGATAATTACCTAGCTTACCATCCTTGAAAGCCCTGTAGATAAACACGCCATCGGGTGCTATTCTCCCGACATGATCAGTCCATATGTCCATCCGCTTCCTCAACAGAACATCAGGGCATGCCGTATAAGAGGGGAAGGGAAATTGGTTCCTACGCGAAAACAATGCTCTGCACTGTACTGTAATACATGGCATACGTCAGTGTGAAAGAAGAGTCGGGATAGAGTAGAGATTGCCAAGACTGCCATGGATTCGCCTGCATCCGACAAATGGGTGGATGAGACTTACCGGTGACCTTGTCCCTGATGAGTTTGCAGGACTCCACCTCCCCGATGGAAGAGAAAAGACTTCGAATCTCTTCTTGTGTCATCGTCTGGGGAAGATAATTGACGATGAGATTCGTCTTGCTCTCTTCACCGGTGAGATTGGAACCACCACCTCCACCTCCGGAATTGGATCCTGATGCTCCACCTCCTCCAATCTGACTTCCACCCATCTTCACGCTCTCATTCCCGTGTTGATCCATCCCATTCATTGTTGTCGTTCCTCCCATCGCGTCTAGGGGATAGGCAAAGATAAGAAGATATCGTCTTGAAAGTGTCATCAAGGGCAGTGGGGTATAATTTCCGATCTCGCCCGGGTTAATAGCACCCTACATCAGTCGTATCTGTATGGAATGCCGCCGGGATAAATTACTTTCTTTCAGAGGAGTCCCTCCTGCTATGCCATACTTATCCCGGAGACCTCCCTCTTATCTCCAGAGAGCGAGCGAGCGAGCGAGCGAGCGAGAGAGAGAGGGGGCGAGAGAAGCATTTGAATAATGAGTCTGGGGCCCCATATCTCGGGACACACCCCATGGGAAGCCCTTTCGGTCCCTCCGGTCCCTGGGGATAAGGAAGCTCATCCACGGCGACGTCTTTCGAATGCTAAATATCCTCCCCTGGCCTTCTATTCAACACATACGCCAGCTAACAGATCCCATTTCGCATATCGCACCAATTCAGCTTCATTCACTCATACCGTAGGCCTACATCATGAAGGAGGCAATCTTCACGATGTTCATCGATGACATAGCTGACGAAGAACTTTGAGACGGTACTTCCTCTGGATTATGAAAGCTGCGAGAGCAACACGAATAATGCGCATGAATATGAGGGAGTCGATTGTTCGCTGGCAGAAAAAGCTCACTCATTGGGATATCAAGTGTCTAAATGACAAGACAGGAGGTGATGTAAAATCTTGTATAAGACGATGTTAGGCAGAGAATGGACAATCTTGAGCTAAGTTGACGCTACAACTACTCCCGTGCTCCTCCTCCCACGAGACCAACCTTTTCATCAACTCTTTTGAGTTTATTCTGAACTAGAAATAAACTGAGCTGACCTCCGACTGCGATCCAGAAGCACGTTAGGAAAGAAGACATAATCGCTGACCAAGAGAACAGCATTCTTTCGATATTGCGTCGAAAGGGAAAGAAATCCAACCGATTTTGGGATATGATGGGTCAGTTGGGTAAGAAAATAATCGCAGCCATCGACAGCGGCCCTTTTCTAACCCAACTGACCCATCATTTCCTAATATAGATTGGCTTTTCCACTCTTTGGCCTTTGACAAGAGAAGGAGTGGGGAAATAATAGCGTACACTGCCACTCCTCCAAGGCTCTCTGCCCCTCTTTCACCTCTCCACAGACATTCTCTCTGCCTAAGGTCTACCAGAGAATGGGGCACGGAGTAGTGATATCGGAGATGTGGTCAGAGTCGAAAACTAGAATTCATATAGGAAGGGGGGGGGGGAGAGAGAGAGAGGGAGAGACAGGGATAGGGTATGCGAGAGTTGCGCCTGCAGAGAAACGACCCGCGTACCATTGAGAATCAGCGGGAGGATGAGGATTCCAGGCTGTGCATATGCGCCGATTGGGTCTTGAGAAGAGAGAAGAAAACGAAAAAGCAAGAGGAAGCGTTGGCGGTCATCGAGACAGAGAACAATGGGAGAGAAAGAGAGAGCGAGGAGATGAAGTATCGGATGGCACAAAGGAGACCGTTGGGAAATCGAAGGAGCCACTTTCTTTTTTTCAATGATGAATGATACCCCGAACCCACCCAATGCAGACATAAGCCTCTCCCGAAAATATAAACGATTCTTCTCGCAAACGTACACACAATTTGCATGGATATTTCCTTGCGTTTACGTTTGGATGATACTCTGTCGCGTGCAGCTGACGTCGGCAGTCATCAATTCTGCAACAGCTTCATGAGACAAAGTCCTCGAGTGAAAGGAGCTTTAATTACTTGTCTTCCTCTCCCCTCGGATGACTAATTGCCAAACCAATCGCTCGCTTCGTCTCTCGTCATTAGCACCACATTACCTCCAAGTTTTCGAAGCACGGGTCTTTAGTCAATGGGGGAATGGATGAGGGGGAAGTTGCATCGATGTGACAGGTGGCATGAGACGCACGCCAGCTGCATTCTTTCTAACCGACGCTCTCCCCCTGTCAGCTGATCGCGTTTGAATTTTCAATCCCTGCCCTATCATTGGCCCTTCGTTTTTGGTCACATGGCTGAGTCCCCCGAACGAATGAATGGCAACGGACATCCATGGGCAAAAAAGACAACAAAAAAAGAGAGACGGGCAGCGGTCGATGACAAGACAAAGGGATGAGGTGAGGGGGGGGCCTTGTCGTTGTATATGGAATGCTTGCATGAGATGTGAGACATCTGGTGGTCGAAGGCGGAAGTCGGTAATTCCGGAGAGAAGCCCGTCTCTATTTTTTCCGCTGTCGTGACAAGCCACTCGTGTGTGAAGAGCACATTCCAAGAGAAGACAGCCAACACTCCTCCTATGTTCATGCACGCCAATCCAATCCACACAGCACCCTATCCGCAAGAGGGGCTAGGCCTACTTCGACGACGATGAATGAAGCAAGGTTGAAATAATTTTCAGGGCATGATGAAGGGGTCGGGGAAGGGAAGTGGACAGGGAGAGGGGGGGGGGTTGGAGAGCTTTGCAACGTACTGTAGAGACAAGAGGAAATCGGCCTGTCCCCTTCCTTCTACTTCGGAAATGAATCGCCTTTCATGGATGAGAGATGGAGTTGAAACATCCACCCAAAGAGAGAGAGAAAGAGCGAGATGGAAGCAAGCATCCCAACCCACGTCTAATCGCGCCAGAGGAGGAGGAGGGGTATAGGAGAGATAGGGAAGGGGGATCCATAATTCACGAGCTGTGGCTCTTCTTAGTGTTCATGCATCCCAATGACCCTTCCCATCCTACGGCAATATCTCCCAATCTCGAATCCCATCACGAAGGGGCCGAGTCTCTGCCCCCGTGACGCAATCCCCTTGTGCTTTCAAACAGAAGACCATAATAACGGGGGAAAAACCCACCTGCGAACTCATGATGATACAAACCGGGGTCTTCCATGTTTCCCGGACTCGGGTTTGGACTCATCGTCATGGATAGCACACAATAATATGAGTATTATCTTTTCAGAACACTCTGACTAGGCGAGGTCGCATCACTGTAAAGTCATGTCCTGTTGAAAAGATCACAGATAGGAAATGAGAAGTTTCGGGCGAGGGGCAACCGACTCCGTGCCTCTGTTCCCAAAACCCATGAGAGCTTCCACCAACCGACGCGGCTTATTCCCCCACGCACTCACACACACAACGCTATTCAAATTAGCGGCGTCATGAAATTCGCGATTGGACGTCTCTAAACCAGGAGACTCCCACAAATTCGTTCCGAGAGATTATCAAGTCGCCGTTGACGAATTATAGAGGGATTGGACAGAGATAATAAGCAAGAAAATGGCTTAAGGGGTAAAGCAGGCGAAAATGAGAACCGAGTGAAAAGTGGGGCAGGGGAAATGCGAGTGAGCCGACATATGGATGGAAAACAGAGAGAGAAGAGAGAGAATATAAAGGGAGAATGAAGGAAGGGAGGGGAGGGGAGGGGAGGCTGCAATATCCCCCCCTCTTCCCCTGTTCCACGGGGAGATATTGGAGGCTCACATGAAATTGTCAGGCCTTGCCTCATATCCGGCATGGCACGATGCGAGGCACCGGGCGTTTTAAAACGCACATGGCTTATCGCATCCACTGCAAAGAGGAAGGAGATACATCAACGGCTCTCCCTTCCCCCTCTTTTCTTTTTTCGTCTGATGAAGTCATCTGCGTGCTCAGAGACATCGATAAAACTCGGTCCTAGGGGACCAATGGACCGCTATGAAATGAATGCGAGCGGATATCTCAGGAGGGAGTGCCTCGAGAAGCTCACTCACTCACAATTGAGAATCAATGATGAAAAGCAAGCCATGAAAATTTTATAGGATTGAGTTCATACATTTAGACGTTGATTTGGGGATATCAAAGGGGCAGCGTTATTCCATCTGAGTTCTACAAACGAATTCTATATATCTCAGCCTTGGTTGCGATATTGCCAGATTCGATGTGGAGTACATGCATTTCAGATAACATGTCGGGATGAATTCTCCTGAGACCCACCTGCAGACTTTCAAATCCAATCCATCTTCCCAGGAAGAGGGGGGAGGGAGGGAGAAAAAAAAACAGTCTGGATATCATGCAGAACCAACATTGGAAAAGCTATAGGCCCGTATCTTCAACAACTCGTTTGCTTTGTGAAACAACATCATTCAGCGCTGGGTAGATAAACTGATCTCGACTAGTTTAAGTGGTAGTACACTATTTAGCCGCTAGTTATAAACCGTTTATTCACGGACTGGTTAGTCGGCCAGTTAAACTAGAAGTTCACGCTAAAGTAATAACTACTTAAATTTTATAAACTCGTCATTGACTTGTCAAGGTGTTAGCTTTTTATGATTCATTTTGCTTTTTCTCCCTCACTCTTTCATTTTCGCACGGATCACACATGCTTAGTCAAGTCTGCCAATCAGTTCCCCTTTAGTTTTGTCAACACTACGTGTGACAGTGCATCAACATACAGGGTGGGCGAAAAGTCACAGTAACCCTAGTTTCGTGTACGTTTCGTGTAGGCTGAGCGGGTGTCAGTTAGGGGTCGAAAATGGCGGACATGGTTCTGGTGTCTGCCCATTCCACCATTGAGGTTTAATACAATCCGCCGCATGTGAGGTTGTGGACAGGCACGACAGCCAAGCGGTTATTCGGTCCTTACTTTTTCGATGGACCGGTCAACGCAGCATCATACGAGAACATGTTGCGGACATGGTTGTTACCGCAGCTGGGATCGCGGACAATGTCTGGCTGCAGCACGATGGTGCACCTGCACACTTCGCGCTGACTGTGCGTGACTATCTGAATGAGGTCTTCCCGAACCGATAGATCGGTCGTAGTTTTCCGACATCCCCTGCACCTCAGCCTTGGCCACCACGGAGTCCCGACCTCACCGCACTCAACAACGTGTTATAGGGCTTCATTAAGGACAAAGTTGCTGCGAGTCGGCATGAGACCAACGGCGCATTACGAGCCGCTGTGATTGACGCCTTCGGCTGTGTCACACCCCAGATGCTGCGCAAGATGTCCCGGAGGACCAGGCAATACATCCAGCTCTGCCTGGACCA